TAGGCATTGCTCTAGTTTGTTTTCCTGTTGCTGTAATAAACATCATGACCAAAGGCTACTCACGAAGGACAGAGTTTCTTTTACCTTGCAGTTTACAATCCATCATCCAGGGAATCCAGGGATGGAGCTCAAGACTGGAACCTGGATGCAAAAACTGAAGCATAAGCCACAGAAGAATGCTGTTTCCTGGCTTCCCTCCACTTCCTGATCCCTACTTTTCTTATACAGCCCAGGTCCATCTGCCTTGGGACGCTACTGCCAACATTGGACTGAGCCATTCTACATCAATCAGCAATTAAGAAGATGTCTCTCAGATATGTCCCCAACCCAATCTGGTTGAGTTAATTTCTCAATTGAGGTTCCCTCTTCTCAGATGGCTCTAGTCTGTGTCGAGTTGACAAAAACTAACCAGTACAGGTACTTTGATGCATATTCACCATTTCTAGAGTTACAAATGTTGAGACTGTGTGGAAGGAGCGTTAGCTCTTGCTATATGAGGTCCTTTTATACCAGGCTGGGCTCTCTCTCCTCTGACAATGAGATTACATTTCTTTATCTTTATTTGGAATGCACAGAATAAAATAAGCTAATGATATTTAAAAGTTTTGATTCCTTAATAAAATTAATACACATTTTGTTCAGGCAGAAAGGAGTTTGTAATGTGGTAATGATGTAATGACTGATATTACTAAATCTTGAAAGCATTATATTAAAGTAACCTATATGTGTAAAGACAAATACTACATAATTCCACTCATATGTAAACTCTAAGAAAAATTGAACTCATAAACAGGAAAATGGATGCCTAAGGGAGAGGGAGAGGGAAAACTACACAGATGATGAAAAGGTATAATGTAGCTGAAAGTTTTCCAGTCAGGACAAATCTCTCTCATCCACTGGTCCACAGCTGCTCAGACCCCAATAAATACACACAGGCCAATATTATTTTTAAACTATGGACATGCCAGGCTTCTTGTTATCTAGTTATTATGTCTTAAATTAAATTTCTATGAATCTATACTCTGCCATGTGGCTCATGGCTTACTGGTACCTTTACATCTTGATTCTTCTGGCAGTGGGTAGCAGAGTCTCCCCTGCTCTGTCTTCGTCCTTCCTCTCTCTCTCTTTATAATGTCCTGCCTAACCTTATTTTGCCTCACCATTGGACAAACAGCTTTACTTATCAACCAATCAGAGCAACACATTTTCTCAGCATACAGAGTATCATCACCCATCTATTTCATGAGAAAAATAAGTTCAAGAAGTTTGTTGTTCAACATGGTGGCTATTGAAAGTAAGTTAATAAGAGGTTTTAAATGTTCTTATTTCAAAACGGTTTATGAGATAATTCATATTAACAAACTTTGCTGACCCATTTTCTGGCATATGTAACTCACTAGCACAGGAAGAGACTTTTTGAATAGGTCCCTGACTGCACAGATACTAAGACTGACAATAAATGGGACCCTGTGAAACTAAAAAGCTTCTGTACAACACAGGTACTGGTATTCCAGTGAAGAAGCTGAACACAAACATGAAGAAAAGCCTTACCAACCTTACATCTGACACAAAGTATCTAGAATATATGAAGAACTACAAAATAAACATTAAGAAAACAACCCAATTTAAAAATTGAGGCAGGGAACTAGGGGGCAGGGAGAGTTTCCAAAACATTAAATACAAATGGCTGAGGAGTATTTTTAAAAGTCTGGCATTTTTTTTTTTTTACATACTCTTTTTTTTTTTTGTTTGTTTTTGTTTTGTTTTGTTTTTTGGTTTTGGTTTTTCTAGACAGGGTTTCTCTGTGTAGCTTTGCGCCTTTCCTGGGACTCACTTGGTAGCCCAGGCT